CGGCGCCCCTTCCCGTCATTTTTTAATTTCCAAAGGAGAGTACCCACTCCACCTGCCCCTCCCCCCCCCGTACACCAGAGATCACGAGGGTAGTAGATGGTACAGGGGGTTCAAATTAATTCAGTCAATTTTCCAGTATCCATTTGTGAATGATTCCGGGATGCAAGTTCCTCGGACGCCTTAGTATGGGCATTCTCGTGTGACTCTTTGGACGTTTTTCTCGAGAATTGTGACGAGCAGAGAATGAAAGAAGAAAGAGAATAAGGAGGCATAAAAATGCTCGTTGAGCAACACGCAAATATAATTACTTTTTGTTCCGCGAATGGCGGTCCGCCGCTCTGACGGTGGTTGGCACATCTTGAGGTTTGAGTTTAATTAAATATTTTCGTGGCTGAATGTCTGCTCGACGTTGCGGCCTCTCACTGTCTCTCTCTCTCTCTCTCATACTCCATTTGATTTTATCTCTCGCGCGCACACTCTTTCCGCGACCCCTCCCGTGCACCCCTTCCCGCGCACATAAGGCAATTTACGTTTTTAATTTGTGTAATGAATTAAACGCCTTCCTCACAACAGTCTACTATACCGTCCCACCTTAACCCGGTGTATTCAGTTTTCGGTATCCGGTACCAGGTCCCAACCGGTAGCGCCATCCTCCTTCGATTATACCCAGATCGGACAACATTGGTCCTCGTAGAAGCGTGTTAACAGATGACGAGTGACCTGGAGCATTCATTTAGGATGTGGAGGAAAGTCATTTAGGAATTTCAATGGCGTCCAATGGGTACGAAGGGTACGTGCCGGTCGTCGCTGAGGTATCGTGTCCTGGTGCACAGACCCCCCATCCTGACCACTCAATTAGATTACACTAATGTTATTAGCGGTCCGGCTGGTAGGGCTGTTTTTTACCAGCACGTGTGTCATCCACGGTGAAGTGACGTCAAAGTCGAGAGAAACGCCCTCTACCGGGAAGTTCACCCTCGTGCGCACTCGGAACTGCATACGCGCGTGGATTAGTTCGTGTAAGGGATTGTAGGTGGAGACACACGCAGATGCATTTATGAGCGTTGCCAGAATTAACGTTGAGTCCAGACGAGGGAGTGGAGTTGAGAGGTCAGGTCCTGGTTGAAAATCGTCAGGTCGACCAGGGGAGGTCAGTTTCCTGGGTTATGGATACTCGCAGCGGTGCTCGCTGGGAAACCTGGCGCATTAGCAGATTTAACTACTGGCTTTTTATCTGGCTGGCATTACTTTCATTTTACGGGAAACTTTTAGTCCGGCTGCGAGAGAGGGCGCATTAGTATTTATATTAATCCACACCCCCCCCAAACACCTCCTGACCTCTGAACTACCCTTTTCCCCTTTCGCTGACCCGTTACTGCACTCGCGACTTCCGGCAACCTTCCATTATATATTCTTTCTCCTTTTCTATCTATCTATATGCATGTATATTTATGTGTTACAGCATCCCTCTAAAGGGAACCAACGACTCGATAGATCGGCGATAGCAATGCGATGCCGACTTTAGGGAAAATTTTAATGAGCGGCTGTGACGCCCGAGACGTCAAAACCCTCGTTTTCAACTAATACTCGCCGCAACGAGCATCGCAAGAAAAAAGTGCGTGAGGTTCGTAAATTTGGCTACTCTTTGTATTCCACTGCTTCCACGACGCGATAAGACGAGTCCCAGGGTCCTGCTCAGTTTCGACGTTTCCCCTTCGCACTGCCTTTTCACGGGCTCTCTCGTTCTCGCACAGCAATGCGCGGTTCCTCTTATGCGGCTATACACGTGACAAAGTCAGCAGACTGCAATAATAATCGACGAAACACGCGAGGGATCCTGCGTCGTTGCTCCTTTAAGCCCCCGGCGACATATTATGCACTTGCCAAGAAAGAGTCTGGTGAAAAATTCAACGCCAGATCTCGGTCAGATAAACATTAGTTTATTCCCACGAGAGCGACGCACATTGCGGTATACGTCTCTTGGCCCGACACACGTGTCGCCAATTTTATGCAATTTTTTTGTTGCGTCGGCCACCGAGCGGATGTCCTTCATTAAGAGGGCAAAGTTTTCGACCGCGGTTTTCGCTTTGATGTTTTACGCATGCATCTCCCCCTATATACTCCACTCGCTCGAACAAGATCCGCGAGTCTTGGCGAAGCTCCCGGCCAGTCTAGGTTAATTTCGCAATCCTTATACGTGGCTGCGCAGAGTCTTGCGAATCTATGAAAAATGACGTCACTGCCAATGACCGTCACGGGCACTCATTCTCTTCGCTATCAGGATTCTCACTAGGGCTTACCTGTCAGACGCCATAGGAATGCGAGAGTCGGTACGGTTGAAGTGCTTGAAAAGGGTAGTAAAGGGAATAAGGGATACGGGACAGAGGAGGCAAGAGGGATCGAGAGAAGCCATGCGCCTCTCCAAGGGGTTGGAAATCCATCTGCTAAGTGCGGATAAAATTACCCCTCGATGCCGGTTCGCTGCCACCACTATCTATATGTCATTTACCTCTATACCGCTACCCCTCGTCCATGAAGCTTGCACGCCAACCATCCCCTCCCCGCCCGTCCTTCATCCCTTCAGTCGAGTAAATAACTTAGGCATCCACTAGTCACCGTTTATCCCAGCGGTGCCTCAGCCTATAGTATCCTGTCTTTATATATAAACTAGGATCGATGCACCCTGGACAACCTCAGTGCAGGCCAAGCGTTTGACTTGGGAACCTGCGGCCACTCGGCTTTCATTGGAATAAACCGCGCGGCACGATGAAACGGATATATTCGAGACAGGAGTACGAGCATTGGTTGGACGGGTGGGGGGTTGGTTGGTAGAAGAAGTAGGACCGGATATCCAGTGGCGAATCTAATTTCGCGATACGCTTATCTGCCGAGTGGACGGGATTTCGGTGGCAGCGAGATCTGCATTCGAAGCGAATCGGCGATACCTGCTTTACATAGAGGACTTTCTCTGATACTTTCGTTCTGCCTCTCTCTCTCTCTCTCTCTCTCTCTCTCTCTCTCTCTCTCTCTCTCTACTTTTTTCTCTTTTTTTTCGTTACGCTCTCGGCTGACCATATGTCCACGGAAGCCGAATCCCATGAACAGGCTTTTACTTGATGGATTCTATAAGCGCCGCAGAAGTAGGAAGAAGGACGGATAGAGGGAGAGGAGGATCCGTTGTCCGTTGGCTGGAAGCTGCGGAGGTATTGAGTTCTGTATCATGGCGGCTATAATACATTTTTTATCTGATTGAGGGGATCTTCTTTATGGGGGGTGTTCTCTATATGTATATGGTATAACCTTGTACACTTATGTGCACATGTGTGCTGGATATATAGTATACGCGTGCCAGTAAGTACGCGTGTATATATATGTATATATATAAATGGCAATAGTGTATTCTCGAACGTGCACTATCCAGCCTTGAGCCACTCTCATTTCACAGTCTCCCTCTCTCTCACTCTCTCTCTCTTTCTTCCGTATTTTATGCTCCTCGTCTTTAGTTTCCTTCCTTGTCTCACTCGACCACATCGAACAGCATACACAGGCGCATGCCTTTAGAGCAGCCTGTGTCATTTTGAACAGAGAGCTCTCAATGTTTATCTGGGTCTTTTAGTCAGGAAGGGACGATCGGGCGGGGGGAGGGATGGATTCTGGGCCTATCCTTGGAAATAAATTGGCGAACAGGAAGATTCGTTTGATTTCGATTATGACTGAAATTTTGGCATATAGGTACTTTTCTTTCCTAAGATAGAAAACCGTAGACGTGGCTAAAGTGACCAGTGGTATTTCGAAAGAGGTGAAATGGGGGGGGGAAGTACAGGGGGGGGG